AATTGCACTTCGGGTACCCTACCCGGCCAGAAAGCTGGGTTGTATACATTGCCCGAACTGCAATTTCAAACTGTATCTTCGCCCATAGTGCATTTATAACTCATTTTTGTGACTCCGGTATAGTGCCCCCTAAAAAAAATTGAAGGTAATAAAGCAGGCCATTAACTAGAAATTTACTAGAAAAGAAGAAACTAGTTTTTCAAGGGTCTGTGGATACCAATTGGTCCAGCTCAGCTGGTACACCCATGGACTGATGAATTACAGACCCTACCGTCTTCACCCCCCAATAAAACGCCCGGTAATTATTGCCGTATCTGGGCTATACAGCTATAATGACTGGGAGTTATGTTTGAGTGAAGACGGTAGTTCGAATCCAGGTCCAGCGGACGAGTAAGAATAAGAGTAAATCTGAATATCTGGGGTCAGTGAGTTCTATTGCGCTATCTCAAGGCAGCCTGTCACCCTGTGTTTGTGTTTGAAACACAACCATGGCCGCCCGGGGGGGTTGAGTCTCAAAAAGTCAAAAAAAAAAACACTAATCCCAGGTTTGTTGTGGCGCAGTCACCCGCCGCAGTGCGGAATGTGCAAAAACAAAAGCCAAAATAGCCGTACGAGTACTCTGTAATGCTTCCAATTTACTTGTGCTATTAGGTGTTACGCCGTTTTTGTGAAACCCGAGCTGTCTTCCTTTTTGCAGTTTGTGCCTCAGGCTGACTGGCCTCAAGAGGTCATTTGGTCTGTCCAATGATGGCCATTTTCTGGAAATTGGGATATTAAGTGATAAGGGATGAGACTACCACTCAATGACATCTTTTTCTCCACTTTTATCCCCCTTTCTTTTCTTGGGGGGGGGGGGGGGGGGGGGGGGGAGGGGGGAGGGGAACACCATGATGCATTTATCACTTTACACAGAGTTAAAAAAAAGGGGGGACAAAGATGAGTGGTAGTCTCATAGTTTTGGGCGCCCAAAACCAGAAAGGTTTTGGCGTGGGCCCGATTATCCCAATGAGGGATAATTGGTAGAAAGAGCCCACGCCAAAACCTCTCCGGTTTTTGGGCGCCCGAAACTCGGCCGTTTGGTACTACAGGCGTCTTCAGCCTGGGTGAAAGGCGCCTTCGGCCCTTCGCGCCATGGCCACATCTCCCTGGGCCTGTTTTTACCGGTTCAAGAATTTGGTGCTGTTTTTGCACCAGATTCATGAACCGGTACTGCCCTTCTAAACTCGGCCGTTTGGTACAACCGGCCCAAACCGTCTTCAGCCTGGGTGAAAGGTGCCTTAGCGCTGTGGCCACATCTCCCTGGGCCTGTTTTTACCGGTTCAAGAATTTCGCAAGCTTTTGCTAGATGCATGAACCGGTAGGGCCCTTCTTTTTCAAAATAGAGTGCGTGGGCTTCATTAGATACTTCAGCTGTACCACCCTAGGCCTCTTTTACATCAAAATGAATCTGGCTCTGTTATGCGCCAGATTCATGATCCGGTAGGGCCCTTGGAGCGACACGTGGGCCTGTAGCACCCTCATGAAAGTCATTGGGCCGGTAGTACCAAACAGCCGAGTTTCGGGCGCCCAGAACCAAAAAGGTTTTGGCGTGGGCCCTTTCTACCAATTATCCCGATGATCACTCAATACAAAAAATGGTCCTGACCACACACTGTCAGGACCATCCGGAAGAGCATTTCGATGGGGCCTTGGTGAATTTCTCTGCGAAGTTCGGCGGTTTATGGAAGGAATGGGTGCCGGTTTTGACTGGGTGGGACCGGCTGCGGTGGAGGAATCGGGGGTTGTGGGACCTCCGGATTAGGGGGTCTGATGGGTCTCGGCTTTAAGGTAGGAATTGGGAAGATGTTACTGGGTCTGTCTGAGGTTTTGAACCCGAATTTGCAGAATGAGCGTAGGCTTAGGGGGTCTGATTTGTTTTGTTGTAAGATGAGTGTTGGAATGGTTTCGTTTGGGGTTTCGTACCCTGGTCTGCAGATTGATTGTCGGCTGTGACCTTGTTTTTCGACGTGTAGTTTTGGTTTTATTTGAGTGCTGGTAGTCTGTTAGAAGTTGGAATGGGTTCACCATCGGGTTTCGAACCAGGGATCTGTGCTATCTGATATGTTGTTTTCCTTGGGTCTGCCGACCGAATGAGGTAGTGTAGCTGTAGGATGTTTTTGTGTTAAGTGACAGGGTTCGATCTCGGTACGTGTGTTGGGTGATAAGGTACTGTCGTGGCTTGAGAACTTTTTTCGGTGGTCGTAGTAGCTGTAATCGGCTGAACTCTCTAGGTATAAGTACTGTACACAGTCTTTTTCAAGCCGACTTAATGACCCCTGACGAGTCCTGGCAGGCGGCCAGGCGAAACCGGTCGGATCACTACCGCCATTACAGGAGCTTGTCTTCTGTATCTGTGCTTCATGGTTTATCTTCAGTATTCAAGTCGCGTTCGGGAACTCTGGTGTCTCTCCTTCCCTTCTTCTGCCTCTCTCTCTCTCTCTCTCCCTCCTCCTCTTCTTCTCCTATCTAGTTTGGTCTGGCATGTTTTGGCTTCTGCGTTTCGACATTGATTGGAAGTGTTATCATTACGTCAGGTTGCTAACCTACTACACACACTGTCAGGCCAAATGACCTCTTCAGGTCAGTGGCACTCAACTGTAACTGTCTCTTATACACATCTAGATGTGTATAAGAGACAGCCTCCTCTTCTTCTCCTATCTAGTTTGGTCTGGCATGTTTTGGCTTCTGCGTTTCGACATTGATTGGAAGTGTTATCATTACGTCAGGTTGCTAACCTACTACACACACTGTCAGGCCAAATGACCTCTTCAGGTCAGTGGCACTCAACTGTAAATTGCAAATGCGCCTTCTCGGCAAAAGTGTCACGCCGGCTGGCGCCCGGCACCCGCAGCTACAACGGAAGAACTCCAGAAAAGTTGAAAGATCTTCAAATAGCAGCCGGCGTGACACTTTTGCCGTTCTCCACTCGGCCATCCCTCCCTCGGTCATTATGGCTCCACCCCACCATAATGATCCCCCTTGCCCACTGCCCCGCACACTCCCCACCCTGCAGCACGGTTTCTTGTACTGTCTTCTCCCCGCGGCGCCCGCGCGCTCCACCGAGTCCACCCCACGCCCCCCTTTGGTTCTCTCACCTCTAATGGGATAACGGTCTCGCAATGTGATGCTATGATTGCCATAAATTAATAAAGAAATAAATGCAAAAAAACAGAAGAAAACTCAACTGGAAGAAAACTGCAGCTGTGTTGTTGATCATTTTAATTTCGTTTTCTGCTGGTATGATCTTTTTAGCTGTTTACGTCGAAAGTATTACTGTTCTATTTGTGTGTTAATTTATGCAGAAATGCAGAAAGGCAGATCAATAGCCCTATCTTGCGTCTCTCCACAAACACGTCCAGATTCAGGAACTTAGTCTGATCCTCACCCCTTGGAACTTGTATAATACTTGGAAAAGGCGCGATCCTCACACGACGCTTCCCACGCGCCTTCGAAAATTTGGGGAGGGAGATCGTACCGGTGGGTCGCACCACACTTTGGGAAGTGTCCATGATCAGATCGGTTCGATTAGAAGCACTAGCTGTAACTGGGCGGTGTAGCTCAGGGCTTGCTCGCAGGAGACCTGGGCTTTTTCAACTCCAGTTGTGATTGGCGTCAGATACATTGCATAACTGCTAGCCAGTGTGCGAGAGACCTGGGGTTGTGTGGTCGTCTTTTCGCATTGTTTTGATCGTTTTCTGGCCCCATTTTGAAACTCGTTTGTTTCGTTTTTTTTTTCGGTCATTTTCTGGCCTGCTTTTGCAGTTCATGAGGTTTGTGGTGGGGGTGGGGGCTGTCTCTTATACACATCTAGATGTGTATAAGAGA